TTCGGTGCTTGATCGGTCGGGCCGTGGAGACGTACGACTACATCAACCAAGTTAACGCTTCCGTTGTCGATCTACAAGGGTACTTAGATCACACTCTCCCCCTCTCGTTGCTATGCATCACCATCATCTTGCGTGTGCATAGGAAAATTTTGAAATTACTACGTTCCCCAACACTAGGCTCATCAACACCCGTTGTATTCGAACGTTAGAATCTATCACACCCGATCATCACGTGGTGCTTCGAAACAATGAACCTTCGCAATGGTGCACAGTTAGGGGAAACACTTTTTCTTGAAATTTTAGTGAGGGATCATCTTATTTAATCTACCGTCGTTCTAAGCAAATAAGATGTAAAACATGATAAACATCACATGTAATCAAATAGTGACATGATATGGCCAATATCATTTTGCTCCTTTTGATCTCCATCTTCGGGGCTCCATGATCATCGTTGTCACCGGCATGACACCATGATCTCCATCATCGTGTCTTCTTGAAGTTGTCTCGTCATCTATTACTTCTACTACTATGGCTAACGCTTTAGCAATAAAGTAAAGTAATTACATGACGTTTATGTTGACACGCAGGTCATAAATAAATTAAGACAATTCCTATGGCTCCTGCCGGTTGTCATACTCATCGACATGCAAGTCGTGATTCCTATTACAAGAACATGATCAATCTCATGCATCACATATGTCATTCATCACATCCTTTTGGCCATATCACATCACAAGGCATATGCTGCAAAACAAGTTAGACGTCCTCTAATTGTTGTTGCAAGTTTTTATGTGGCTGCTATAGGTTTCTAGCAAGAACGTTTCTTACCTACGCGAAAACCACAACGTGATATGCCAATTTCTATTTACCCTTCATAAGGACCATTTTCATCGAATCTGATCCGACTAAAGTGGGAGAGACAGACACCCGCTAGCCACCTTATGCAACTAGTGCATGTCAGTCGGTGGAACCAGTCTCACGTAAGAGTACGTGTAAGGTCGGTCCGGGCCGCTTCATCCCACGATGCCACCGAATCAAGATAAGACTAGTAACGGCAAGTAAATTGACAAAATCCACGCCCACAACTGCTTTGTGTTCTACTCGTGCATAGAAACTACGCATAGACCTAGCTCATGATGCCACTGTTGGGGAACGTAGCAGAATTTTAAAATTTTCTACGCATCACCAAGATCAATCTATGGAGTCATCTAGAAACGAGAGAGAGGAGTGCATCTACATACCCTTGTAGATTGCGAGCGGAAGCGTTCAAGAGAACGGGGTTGATGGAGTCGTACTCGTCGTGATCCAAATCACCGATGACCGAGCGCCGAACGGACGGCACCTTCGCGTTCAACACACGTACGGTTGGGGAAGACGTCTCCTCCTTCTTGATCCAGCAAGGGGGAAGAAGAGGTTGCGGCTCCCATGCGCCTCCCCACTATATATAGGGGTGGAGGGGGCTGGTTTCTTGCCCTCCAAGTCCATTGGGGCGTTGGCAAAGGTGGGGGAAAGAAATCTCATCACTTCCCTTCCCCACCGATTGTTATCCCCCCTTTTTAGGGATCTTGATCTTATCCCTTCGGGATATGATCTTATTCCTTCTAAGGGGGGGGATCTTGGTGCGCCTTGACCAGGGGTGCGGGGCCTTGCCCCCACTACCCACGTGCATGCGGGTCCCCCCATGTAGGTGGGACCCACTCCGGAACCTTCTAGAACCTTCCCGGTACAATACCGAAAAATCCCAAACATTTTCCGGTGGCCAAAATAGGACTTCCCATATATAAATCTTTACCTCTGGACCATTCCGGAACTACTAGTGACGTCCGGGATCTCATCCGGGACTCCGAACAACTTTCGGGTTACCGCATACTAATATCTCTACAACCCTAGCGTCACCAAACCTTAAGTGTGTAGACACTACGGGTTCGGGAGACATGCAGACATGACCGAGACAACTCTCCGGCCAATAGGCAACAGCGGGATCTGGATACCCATGTTGGCTCCCACATGTTCCACGATGATCTCATCGGATGAACCACGATGTCGAGGATTCAATCAATCCCGTATTCAATTCCCTTTGTCCAGCGGTATTGTACTTGCCCGAGATTCGATCGTCGGTATCCCGATACCTTGTTCAATCTCGTTACCGGCAAGTCTCTTTACTCGTTCCGTAACACATCATCCCGTGATCAACTCCTTGGTCACATTGTGCACATTATGATGATGTCCTACCGAGTGGGCCCAGAGATACCTCTCCGTTTACACGGAGTGACAAATCCCAGTCTCGATTCGTGCCAACCCAACAGACACTTTCAGAGATACCTGTAGTGTACCTTTATAGCCACCCAGTTACGTTGTGATGTTTGGCACACCCAAAGCACTCCTACGGTATCCAGGAGTTGCACAATCTCATGGTCTAAGGAAATGATACTTGATATTAGAAAAGCTTTAGCAAACAAACTACACGATCTTGTGCTAGGCTTAGGATTGGGTCTTGTCCATCACATCATTCTCCTAATGATGTGATCCCGTTATCAACGACATCCAATGTCCATGGTCAGGAAACCGTAACCATCTATTGATCAACGAGCTAGTCAACTAGAGGCTTACTAGGGACATGGTGTTGTCTATGTATCCACACATGTATCTGAGTTTCCTATCAATACAATTCTAGCATGGATAATAAACGATTATCATGAACAATGAAATATAATAATAATAACTAATTTATTATTGCTTCTAGGGCATATTTCCAACAGCCGATGGGCGCGGCCAGGAGCGCCTGGTGAGGACTCGGGCGAGGGCCGAGGATGCCCGGGGCGGGGGGCCGCGGCACGGGCATACTGTATGCGTGCACGACCCCCGTCCAGGGGTTATAGCCGCCGGCCCAGGGCGGCGGGGGCTGCTGCTGGGGGGCTTGACCGCCGCCGCCTCCTCCTTTGCCGCCGCCTTGGCGTTGGCCGCCGCGACCGCGGCGGCGGTTGCCGCCGTTTCCACCATTACGCGGCGGTTGGGGCGGCTGCGGCACCGGCGTAGGGTGCGGGAGGACCGGAGGACGGGGCGCCGAAGGTGGTGTAGAGGCGCCGGTGAAGATGCCAGCGGCGAGCGCGGTGTGGACGGCGCGGGTGCGGAGGTGCTTCATCCTCCGCTCCTCAAGACGAAGATAGGCCACCGCCCGCTCATAAGTAGGGTTGGCCATGAGGGTGAGGTTGGAGGCGGCGTTGCCGAAGTCCTCGTTGAGGCCGGCGGTGAGCGTCGAGAGGAGAAGCTCGTCGCCCACCTTGAATCCGACGTCGTTGAGCTCGTCGGAGAGGGTCTTGAGCCGGAGACAGAAGGCGTCGATGGTGGAGTCGTTCTGGTGACACCCAAAAAAATCCTGCTGCAAGAAAACAATCCGTTGAAGCTTGTTGTCGGTGAAGAGGCCATTGATCTTGGTCCACACCGTGTAGGCATCGTCCCCATCGCGAACGACGGTGTGGAAGATGTCTGGAGAGACGGTGAGGAAGAACCACCGGATGAGGGTGGCGTCGATGGCGAGCCAGTTGGCGTCGTGGGCGCCGGCAAAGAAGTTGGCTAGACCGTCCACGTGATCACGAAGGTTGTACTCACGGAAGAGGAGATTGAAGTAGGTTTTCCAGGCATAATAGTTGGCGGAGGCGTGGGAGAGTATGATGGGAGCGTGATCGGAGTGGTGGATGTTGCGGATGTCGGCGGCTCGGGGCTCATCGGGCTCGGACTCGTATGAGGAGTCGAACGGGTTGATGGGGTGTGCGCTGGAGGAGGAAGAGGTGCCGAGGGCCGACATGGCAGCAGGGGAGGATGGCGGCGCGAGATGGGATCGGGAGGGTTTTAGGGTTCGGGAGGGAGGCGGCTCGGGGTGGGTTTCGGGAGGGAGGCGGCTTGGGGCGGCGAGGGCAGGGAGGTTGGGGGTGCGGTGGGGAGGGTGGAGGCGCGATGCGGGAGGTTGTGGTGAGGGAGGGAGGAGGCGCGGCGGCCGGGGAGGCGACGGCGTGGGACAGCGGGAGCGGCGGCGGCCTGGGGAGGCGACAGCGACGCGGCTAGGGCTGGGGACCGAGGGTTAGGCTGATACCATGTAGAGGAATATGATGCAACTCTCAATGTATTGATAGGTGCATATGCACAAGTATATATAGTACATAGGGCAAGTCGTATCCTCAACTATACACAAGGAGGAGACTTGGAGTATAAGAATACATGTGCTAAATACATATCTCAACAGAAAGCTTGCATGATGGCCTGTCACATAGCTGTTTTCGGCACAAAAAAAAGTATTACCATAGCTGTACTGCTGTAGTATCACCAAGCTCTACCCAACTTAGAAATCTTAAGCAAAGAGAGTTGTTAACTACTAGTATAAAATGGTATACTACCTGTGAACTTTGGATGGATCATTCCAAATGAAAATCTGTTCTGGTTTAACAGAGACGAAATTAAACTCCTCAGGCTGCAGGAGCGTCACTTTCACTATAAGAAACTTTTGGGAAAACATGAGCCGGGGCAAGCCAATGCTACTTTTAAAAGCGAAGAGCACATATGATCATTTGCTGAATAGCCTCTGAAACAAAATGAGCGTCACCTGTTCTATTCTCACATAATAACTGAAGAAAAATCAACAGGTGCAGGTCCAAGAAATGTTTTTCTCACTCAATTTCACAAGGAGGGCCCTCAGAAGCACTTTTGATAGGCAGATGCACATAAGATACAGTTAACATGCATACAATTTTACATGAAAATAACTCACATGACGAATCACCATAATATTCTGTTCCCATGACATGGTGACAATTCCAACACTACGAACAGATAGCTTGTTACATGGTGACAATTCCAACACTACGAACAGATAGCCTGTCATGGTGACAATCTCAACACTGCAAACAGATTATATTTAGTTATTCCATTCCATCTCATGGATTCTGCATTTAGTTCTGTTCGATACACATACATAACCCAAGTAAGAAAACAGATAGCAGTAAAGATCAAGCAGCTGTCAGCTCCCTTCTCTTGAGCCTAACCATCATCCCGTTCCGTGTGTGCAGTATCACAGCGCTCTCGGGCATCACGGCATGGCCTTCCACCAGCTCGACCTTGAAGTTGTATATGATGGAAGCAGCTGCCATCTTCATGTTGCTGAGACCAAGGTCCTTCCCAAGGCAGCTCCTGGGCCCGGAATTGAAGGACAGGAACTTGTAGCTTGGCTCGTGTCGAAGGCGCCCGCTCTTCGAGATCCACCGCTCTGGTCTGAATTCCATGCAATCCTTGCCCCATATCCCTTTGATCCTCCCCATGGCGTAGAGCGAGAACACGATCCTTGTGCCCTTGCTCACCATGGTACCATCTGGGAGGACATCGTCGTTGAGGGCCTCCTTCTCCTCGAATGGGGTCGCCGGGAAGAGCCTAAAACACATGCACAGCATGGGTTAGTCAGATGGTTGGGAGGAGCTAGACAAGGTGAAAGGGGTATCTCACCTGAGTGTCTCGAGGAGTGCAGCTTGCAGGTAAGTAGCAGGCCGGAGATTGTCACACTCGAAGACAGAGAGGTTCCCTGGCCATGTAGTGCTCTGCAGGGCCTTGATCTCCTCGAGGATCTTCGCCTCAACATGCGGGTGCTTGCACATCATGTAGAAGAACCACGTGAGTGTAACGGCAATGAGGTCCTTCCCAGCAAAGATGAACCCCACCACTGTGTCGCGCAGGAACAGGGTCTTCTGCTGCTCACTCATGCTGGGATCCATGGGCCAGTTCATGTACATGGACAGCACGTCTCCCTGGCATTCCTTGTTTGCTTGTGCCTTCCACTTCGCAATTTCCTCATAGATGAATTTGTCGATCACCACCCTTGCATCCGCCATCTTCTTCTCGCTGCCGACTTTGAGCATTCTCAAGAGCTTCCACAAACTTGGTGGAACGACATGCCTGAACAGCATTCCCTCCTCCACTTCCTTTGTGGCTTGGCCAAACGCAGGGATCGGGTGAGACACAGACAAGCAGTCAAGGTCAGTTGCAAACACAGTGGAGTACGAGACATCAAGTGAGAACCTCATGAAGATACCCTCCAGCTCAACCTGTGAGCCATGCTTAGCCATGTGGTCAAGGAAGGGTAACAAGACTGTGCCGGCCTTCCTCGTGATGGTGGACATGGAGAAGGACCGGAAGGCACGGCTAGCAAAGACTTGCATCGCCACACGGCGCTGGTACTCCCAGGACGCAGAGTCCGCCACAAGGAGCCCATCACCTAGGATGTCAAACATCTCGGCGAACTCACTGCCTTTTGGGTAGTTGTTGAAGTTGGTGTTGAAGCAGTGGTTGACAGTGGCTGGGTCGCAGGTCGCCAGGAAGCTCATGTTGAGGAACCACGGGCCAATGATCCTGAAGGTGCATCCCGCCTCGCGGAGCATATCGGTGACACTGTCATGAATTTGGTACAGATTTCTCACAAGGAAGGGAAGCATCCCAATAACAGGCCAGTTCACCGGGAGGTCACTCTTGTGGCAGTGTCGGACAAGGCGGAAGAGGGAGAGGCAGAAGAAGCAAGCAATGGCTAGGAAAACTTCAGGGTAGGACAGAAGGAAACTCCAGAAGGAGACCATGGTTGAACAAAGTTATGAGATGCAGAGGGAAGAAGGCATGCAGCAATTTAGGCTTCACCTTTGCCTTGCCAATGTCAAATGCACGGCTGGTATTGATATATACAGAAACTGCATATGAGTGTCTTCCCCGTGGGATAGGCGATCAGTTCCCGAGAGTTTAGGGTGCAGTGATTCACAACATTCATATGTCCTGATATAACTGCTATAATTCTGGAGGTCTTCTACCACAAACAGCTTTCTTCAGCATCTAATTTCTGAAGAACTAGACATTCTATACCTGTCAGTACCCACTTAATTAAGAGATCAGATCAGCCATGTTGACTTGTTATTAGAATATATAAGCATTATAGAAAATCAACTTTGACGGTTTGACCCATTACAACTTTATGCGCTTAGACACATATAACCATTTAATTTTTGCAGTTCCTAATTCTAATCTTGTTTTCTTAAGACTGGTTAGAATCCTCTTTAGACCCCCAACTAACTGCAACTAGGAGCAGAGCATTTCTGTAATCCTTGAAACTGATCCCAATCTTAATATGTTTATTGATTCGTTTCCCATGCAAACACCCAAATTGTGTGGGATTACACTCATGTAAACTTTGTGATGCCAGTATGTCCCGAGGCAAGAGGGAAACCAGCTACTTGTTTGCATCAGACCGACACGTCTTAGCTTCCTAACCAGAGAGATTACCTAAGGGCAACCTTGTTAGAGCACTCTTATGACAGTGTTCATCAGCCAAATAACTGCTGAATCGCTACATATAAACCTAATCATAACTCTTGCGGACCAATAAATGACTGTCATTTCCTGCTCAGTTTCTCTTGTTAGCAGGTCTGTAACAAAGGGATGGATCCTAGTGAACCACCAAAGAACTGTGGTGTGTACTCTGTAATACCCAGCAAGTGTGAATTTAGCAGCAGTCTTAATTTTGTATATATTTAGATGGTAGCACTCTTACTCTTAGCAGCATACAAAATTGTAAAGGAGATATTGTGTTCTAGACAGGCCCTAAAACATAATGCTCAAGAAAAACGACTGCTGAATTCGCACTACACAAGTCTAAATAAAGATACGATGGCATATCAGATCCTTGCCAGAGATGAGGAATTTGTAAGGTTAAAGACAACTGCATACTTAGATTGACAAAATTCATAGGTTCTACTTCCATCGCATGGCAGGGTAGGAATACATTTCAACCACTTGCAGCAGCAGTTCATAAACGCACACGGAGAGAGACACCTCTAAGTGACCTTCTGGAAGAATCCGTCGATGCGGCGGGTCCCGCGTGGCAGCGGCTTGGGCACTGCTGCTTCGGCGACGGCGGCGGCACCATCGGATCCGGAGCGGGCGACGCGGGGCGCCGCCTCCGCGGCAGCTGGAAGGCAGTCGAGGAGGAAGTCGGCGGTGGGGCGGTGCGCGCGGACCGCGGACCGGACGTGCGCGGCGCGCACCGTCCGCCGGCCACCTTGGGAGGCGGCCGTGTGGGCGCCGGCGGCGAGGGAGCCGAGGAAGAGCTCGGTGGCCGCGGCGATGAGCAGCGACGCCTCGGCGGTCACCTTCTTTATCTCGCTGTCGACCCGCATGATCCTCTTCACCCTGCCCAGCGGGAGCACCGTCTGCAGCGGCTGGGCCTCCGCTTCCTCCTCCTCTGCCACCGCCACCGCGTGGACCTCCTCCTGCTCCTCCTCTTCAGCCTGCTCCGATGCCTCCATGTGAGCCTCGGCACCAGCATCCGCCTCCTCCCCTTCGCCTTCCTCCATCGGCTGGGCGGCGTCGTCAGCGGCGGCGGCCGCCTCATCCCCTCCAACTTGCTCCATCGCCTCGGTGGGCGCGTCGACGTCATCGGCGGTAGCGGCGGCGGGTGCTCCAGCCGCCAGCTCCTCCCCTTCAACTTGCTCCATCGCCTCGATGTGCTCGGGGGCGGCGGCGGCGACGGTAGCCATGGCTAGGGGGGATTGGATTTGGCAGATCTTGTCGGGGATGGTGCTTGGATTTGGGCAGTGGAGAGAAGTGGCGGGGGGCTGGGGAAATTTTCCCGCGCGATGGACATTGGTGGCGGCGGCGCCGCGGCGCCGGAAGAAACCTCCTGTGACTGATGCAGTGGGCCGGTTTCGCGGCGAAAGCCCAACATATATCTGCTCTCCTTCGGGCCCATTGAGCGTCGACGGTGATGGTATGCCCGCGTGTCGCCACGTCAGTAAACCCACAGGAGCCTTGTGCTGACCGGCTAACACTCCACCGTCTTACGACCGACTAATGATAACCCATTGTGAGCTTACAAAAAGGTAACAATCGAGTAAAATGAGGGGAAATAGCAAATCCATCTAGCTAATGTAGAAACATTTATCATTTGATCTCATGGTCAACTATTTTGATCGAGGTCGATGTCCGACTGTGACCCGAGGTGGACTATTGACCAGATGATGAGCGCCACCATATTTTTCGATACTGTGTTTTGACGTGAACCCTTGAGATTTCGCTGGTCAATAACTAACCGTGCAGCACACGCACGCATCAAGACTGACTGACGCATGTTGTAATGTGCAATGCTTAGGTCTTTCGATCCGTATGAGATTGCCGCATCGTTGGCATCTACTCCTTCCGTTTCAAATTACTCGTCATACAAATGGATGTATGTAGAACTAAAATACATCTAGATACATCCATACTTGTGCCAAGTAATTCGGAACGAAGGGAATACTAGATCAATCAAATGAACCGAAAATATCAAAAGACTAGGGTGGTCAGAGGAAACCGCAAGAGAAACACACTGGTATGGTACCACCAGCGGCCTGGTCTAGTCTAGTGCACACCCAAGGTTTGTCTCGTGCGTCATGTGTTGATCTTCCCAAGACCAACCTTGGCGAGCGCTGGTCATCTACTACTACCAGTACCACATTGATCTGCGGGAGGTTTTGGATATCCCTCCCGAAGTCCCGATCAACGGCAACAATCATGATCTGGGCGGCGCAATGCATGCATGTGACCTCGCGCCCGCAAGACATCTACTCCTAGGCTTCAAGTTCCGGCGACGTTTTTCAAATTGAAGACAGACAGCCCTGCCACTATGATTCTCTGAATTGTTTATCTCTGCTCGCGGAAGAAACTTGGAACTGATCGGCACCGTGACAAAAAACGTTGAACTGATCGACAGTATACTTGTCTGTGCGCGCGCGATAAAAAGGTACATTTAGGCCTTGTTTGGCACACCGGGATTGGAGGGGCTTCTAGTGGATTTTCCCCGTCGGGCTTTCGAGCCCCTAAAAGCCCACGTGAATCGTTTGGTGCACTGGGCTTCAACCGGGCCAGCCCTGAATATCCTCTCGTATCATCCCCGAACCACGGGGCTTTCCAGCATCGAAGGGTACCTCGCGGCTCGCACACCTCGCGCAAGAGGGAGACGAGACGCAGTCATAAGAGCCACACGCAGCAGCCGTCTCCACCGCTGCTGCATCCGCCGCCGTCATCGTCGTCGCCGCTGCCGCCGCTTGCTTCCTTTTCTTCCTAGGGCAAGCTGGCTATCTCCCCGAGGCACTCCTCCCCCATCCCCTCCATCTTCATCCAGGGTTTCTCAACATGGCCGACGCCGATTGGTCAGTCGTTCATATCATTGTCCTCAATGAGCTCGCCAAGCACGCCGTCACTGAGAGCCACCACCGTTCCTCTCCCCTTTCCAGCACCAGCAGCACTACCAAACAACAATTTTATGTGAAAGAGAATATTGGGGCTGGGAATGGGAGGGAACATAGGGGATTAGAGGGGATTGGTGAAGCAGAGGGATTCACCAAATCCCCCAAAATCCCCAGCCCTTTTGGGGCTTGAAAATCTCCTGTGCCAAATGATACGTCTCCAATGTATCTACTTTTCCAAACACTTTTGCCCTTATTTTGAACTCTAACTTGCATGATTTGAATGGAACTAACCCGGACTGACGTTGTTTTCAGCAGAATTACCATGGTGTTATTTATGTGCAGGAGCAAACGTTCTCGGAATGACCTGAAATTTCACGGAGACACTTTTTCAGAAAATAAGAAAAATACCTGCCAAAGATGAAGGCCAGGGGGTCCACCGTCTTGCCACGAGGGTGGGGGCGCGCCTGCCCCCCTAGGGCGTGCCCCCTACCTCGTGGGCCCCCTATTGCCTCTCCAACTCCAACTTCACCTCCATATATTGAGTTTTGATGAGAAAAAATCAAGGAGAAAAAATCATCGCGTTTTACGATACGGAGCCGCCGCCAAGCCCTAAAACCTCTCGGAAGGGCTGATCTGGAGTCCGTTCGGGGCTCCGGAGAGGGGAATCCGTCGTCATCGTCATCACCAACCATCCTCCGTCACCAATTTCATGATGCTCACCGCCATGCGTGAGTAATTCCATCGTAGGCTTGCTGGACGGTGATGGGTTGGATGGGATCTATCATGTAATCGAGTTAGTTTTGTTAGGATTTGATTCCTAGTGTCCACTATGTTCTAAGATTGATGTTGCTATGACTTTGCTATGCTTAATGCTTCTCACTAGGGCCCGAGTGCCATGATTTCAGATCTGAACCTATTATGTTTTCATCAATATATGAGTGTTCTTGATCCTACCTTGCAAATCTATAGTCACCTATTATGTGTTATGATCCGTTAACCCCGAAGTGACAATAATCGGGATACTTACCGGTGATGACCGTAGTTTGAGGAGTTCATGTATTCACTATGTGTAATGCTTTGTTCCGGTTCTCTATTAAAAGGAGGCCTTAATATCTCTTAGTTTCTGTAAGAACCCCGCTGCCACGGGAGGGTAGGACAAAAGATGTCATGCAAGTTCTTTTCCATAAGCACGTATGACTATATTCGGAATACATGCCTACATTATATCAATGAACTGGAGCTAGTTTTGTGTCACCCTAGGTTATGACTGTTACATGATGAACCGCATTCAGCATAATTCTCCATCACCGATCCATTGCCTACGAGCTTTCCATATATTGTTCTTCCCTTATTTACTTTTCCGTTGCTATTGCTATCATCACTACAAAATACCAAAAACATTGCTTTTACTACTGTTACATTTTGTTACCGTTATCACCACTATCATATTACTTTGCTACTAAACACGTTGCTGCAGATATTAAGTTTCCAGGTGTGGTTGAATTGACAACTTAGCTGCTAATACTTGAGAATATTCTTTGGCTCCCCTTGTGTCGAATCAATAAATTTGGGTTAAATACTCTACCCTCAAAAATTGTTGCGATCCCCTATACTTGTGGGTTATCACCAAACAAGGCCTTAGTGGGAGGAAATTAAAAAGTATATTTGGTGCGTGTACTTAGGGCAATATCAATGACCTAATTATTGAATCGTCATGTCCTTAAAGCATCTCCAACGACAACTCATAAATTTCATTCCGCGTCCGCCCGCGGACACGGATGCGGAAGGCCGCTATCCAACATTGCCCGCATACATTTTAAACACTCTATGAATCAATCGGATGAAATTCATGCAAACACAACGGATTTCATATATACAAACCTCATGAAAACATTTACATTTTGAACATATTTGAACTAAAAAGATAAAATTATGTGCATGCACGGGCGCACGGAGCTCCACTCCCACGACACGGATACACTACATTAGTCTATGGCCGGTCGCGGCAGATCTCTTTGTATTCCCCATGTCTGGCAGCCCGCTCATCGGACTGCTGACAGTCCCGAAGTAGCAAAGAGGGTGCTTCAGTACATGCACCAAAGGACATGACAAAGAGGGTGCTTTAGTACACGCACCCTCTTTCCCCGTATCTTCCTTATGTCCGGTTGCGCTGCTCATCGAAGTGGCAAAAAGGGTGCTTCAGCTGAAGGGGAAGGGTGCTTCCGTGGAGCCCAGACGGGGGCCCAGGATGGTCTGAGATAATGAACCGAACATGTCACCGACTGTACAAGCCAGCGACATGCCGGCGATGGCCTTCCTGGGACCCAAGCGGCGGTGGCCTCCCATGTTCTACTTTCCCTCTATGTGGACGTGCTGGCCCCTGGCTCGTCGATCTCCGTGCAGCCGCCTTCTTTCTCTACCTGCAGGGCGCGGTGACGCGCGTGTTGACGGTGGATGGCACGGTACGACGCGACATAGTCCACAGCAGCGACGATGTCTGTGCCGCCGTGCTCCCCCCCCTCCCGGTGTCGGCCTGGAGCAATTCGCCACTCCTCCAGGAACTTCCTTGGAGCATCGAGGTGCTGAACCACGTGTCGGCTTGGGGTGGCAACAACGACTTGCTCCATCGAGCTAGGCGAGGGAGGTGGAGCGGCAAGCTGCCTCGCTCGTATATGGTGGGCTTGGCGGGCCACCCACCTGACTTTTATGCCAGGGAACTGCTCTTCCTGCTCGTCGGATGCTATCGAAAGGGTGAAGAAAATGGTGAAAGGCGGAAATGTGGAGCAGCGGACTTGGTGGTGCGATTCTTGCCGGCGTCTAGCCTCCTTTAAATAGCATGGGGATGGGAGGAGCTTGCCTGACTTTGTGTTTAATATCGCCCCACTTGTGAACGAACGTGTGGCCAGAGTAGGTTTCTCGACTTTCACATGAGTTTAATGGAGGCGTTCGAATGCGGTGGGTGTTGGGGATCATAGCAGAAATTTAAAATTTTCTACGCATCACCAAGATCAATCTATGGAGTAATCTAGCAACGAGGGGAAGGAGAGTGCATCTACATACCCTTGTAGATCTCTAAGCGGAAGCGTTGCAAGAACGCGGATGAAGGAGTCGTACTCGTAGTGATTCAGATCGCGGTTGATTCCGATCTAAGCGCCGAACCACGGCGCCTCCGCGTTAAACACACGTGCAGCCCGGTGACGTCTCCTACGCCTTGATCCAGCAAGGGGAGAAGGAGAGGTTGGGGAAGACTCCATCCAGTAGCAGCACGATGGCGTGGTGGTGAAGGAGGAGCGTGGCAATCCTGCAGGGCT